AAACCATTTCAGGTGACTACCTCTTGAAGCTCATGGAGAGAATGCCAAGAGTGTGCAAAGCAGTAATCAGAGCAAAGGGTGGCTATTTTGAAGAAACTAGAATATAAAACATGTTTTCAGTTATTTCACCTTTTTTTGTTAAGTACATAACTCCACATGTGTTCATTCATAGTTTTGATGCCTTCAGTGAGAATCTACAATGTAAATAGTCATGAAAATAAAGAAAACGCATTGAATGAGAAGGTGTGTCCAAACTTTTGGCCTGTACTGTATATATATATATAGTCACATTTTTCACATCACGGTATCACCGTTTAGACTAATCCGATGTTTGTAAAGTCTATAAACACAATGATTGAACAAACATTACTGTTTCTTAGCCGTTAGCAGTGTCTGTAATAGGTAACTCATTAAACGGTCCGTGAAAAAAATATTTTTTCCAGCGGATATCTTAGTTACAACATGATTGAGCTAGCAAAGCAGTTTTGTGTAGCTATGTGTGGTATTTATTCAATTTTGGGAAATCACGATGTCTAGAAAGCATCAGTGGCTGCAGCTGACAGGGACAGCAGCTAACAGCAGCAGCAAAGCTAACATCAGGACGTCATCTGTTAAAAGCCTCCCGTTGTCGGATGTGACATGAAACTACTCCAGTTAGCTCAATCATGTTGTAACTAAGATATCCGCTGGAAAAAATATTTTCTTCATGGATGAGCACACGTTTGATAAAACGGAGTTTAATCTCTCGGCATCCATTTTCAAGCTCTCTGTGTGTTTGTTTCCTTGCGGACGAGAAAAGGGGGAGCGCACTTTAACACTTTAGAAAGGAGTGTCCCCAGACTATCAGAAGGCGGAGATCTCTGATTGTCTGGTGGCAAGACTACACTCATATTCACTGTGTTCTTGCTGCAGCATCCAATACAAGCATACAGAGGAAACACAAGATGGCACTAGTGCCTTAATGACGTCAAATTTCATTCCATATATTCTGACTTTCATTCAATATATTCAAGGTTCATTCCATGTATTCAGACTTTCATTCAATATTAGGTTAGGTTTTATTGTCCCCAAGAGGAAATTCTTTTCCACAGCACTGTACTTGTTGGACTCAGCATCAGCACACGGACACCATCAGAACACATCACACTGCCGAGCAGCACACAAAAAGCAATGACATACAGCATATAAACATGACACAATCAACGGGGCCTGTTGTTCAGAGCAGCAATGGCTGCGGGAATCAGGCTTTTCCCGAAGCGAGCCCTTCTGCACCTCAGCGTTTTATACCTGCGTCCTGAGGGCAGCAGGGCAAGATATTTGAGGTTCATTCAATATATTCAGAATTTCAGTTCAAGTACAAGAAAGCGTATGACTCAATGCCACACACATGGATAATGGAATGCTTGGAAATGTAGAACATCAACAGGACACAAAAAGCCTTCATCAAGAACTCAATGGGGCCAACTCTGGGGGCCAGCTCAAAGTCAGTTGCATAAGTTAACATCAAGTCTGTGGATATTCTCATTTATCCAGGTCAATTCCATTCTGGCAACAATTAAATCGTAGGCAACTGGACTTTGATTTTGTCTAGAAGACGTTTTGTCTTCATCGACTTTAGCTTGGCATTTAACACAATCATCCCTAACAGACTAGTAACAAAACTAAACAACCTTGGCCTCCCACAATCCATCTGCCTCTGGATCAAGGACTTCCTCAATGACTGCCCACAAAGAGTCAAAGTAGGGCCCCACCTTTCCCCAGCACTCAGCCTCAACACCGGCTCCCCATAGGGATGTTTGCTGAGGCCCCTACTGTACACTCTCTACACATATAACTGCACCCCTACGCACCCAAGTAGCTCCATCGTGAAGTTCACGGATGACACGACAGTGGTCGGGCTCATCACAGGGGGAGATGAGATTGCATACAGGGATGAGGTGGAAAAACTGTCATCTTGGTGCAACAACAATAACCTGGTCCTCACCACCACAAAAAACAAAGATTTGACCCTCAGCCCATATACATCAACAGGGACTGTGGGGAGAGGGTCTCTGACTTCAGGTTTCTGGGCCTGCACCTGGATTATGACCTAACCTGGAAAACCAACACCACTGCGCTGATCAAGAAGGCACAGCAACGACTCCATTTCCTGAGGGTCCTGAAAAACAATGCCCTATCCAAGGAGCTGCTGGTGTCCTTCTACAGATGCTCTGTTGAAAGTGTACTGACATACTGCATCGCAGTGTGGTTTGCCAGCTGCACTGCTCAACAAAAGACAGCAAGCCAGAGGGTCATCAACACAGCACAGAAGATCATCGGCTGTGCTTTAGTCTCCTTAGAGGAGCTGTACAGGTCCCACTGCCAGAGAAAAGCCTGCAGCATCCTGAAGGACACATCCCACCCA